AAAACAGCATTTTAATAACAGCTAAAGGTGGCCTAGATACTTTATTATGGTATAAGTGTTTAAATGGATGCCTGAGAAACACATATTATTGTCCCTTTAAAAGTAATGTGCTGACCTCATAAACTGTAAAATCCTTACATGGATTTGCAAATCGTTGTAATTTCTAAGTACTTTTTTTGTTTAACAGTTCACCAAGCTCAGCCTTGAAAAACATGCTCTAAGTGAGTCAGTGTTTTATAAGAAAGCAAAAGATCCAGTTCTGACATCTGCAGGGTGGGAACTGTCAAGGCTGCCAGTCAGGCACAAGTGTTACCTAACATCAGCAGCAGCGTTAGATGTTTGCTGATGCAGACAAGCTGAGGAGTCAGGTGGGCCTTTAAACTCATTTGAAAGCATGGCTTCAACATTTCTGTGACTTTCCAACTAGGAGTAAGAAAATAGTGATACACTGAAATATTGTGATTTATCATTTCCAGATGCTGCATCGATTCTCAAAAGCACTGTATCGATTTTAATTAAGGTTTAATGGATGTTGTATAAGAAATGTGAAATACTAACACAGTTCTCACTGMTGTTCTGTGTTCTTCTGATTGCATAAAATAAATTAAATCCATTTTATCAGAAATTTTTGGAGAAAAAAATTGGCAATATATCATCTTGCTTACAGTATTGTAATATATCGTGATATATCGTATCATGACCCTGTGTCGTGATATGTATCATACCACCTTCTTGCCCATACACAGCCCTACTTCCATCACTTTTTCACCACGTACAGTAGGTCAGTGGTCTGAATGTTTACCACACTCAATTTTCTACAAGAATAACCCATCTGAAGAAAAGCAACATAGATTTAAAACAAAACATACAAACCACAATAAATGAGTTTAGGATGGTTGAAATACTTTCTGTAATAGGCTCCATTCTGCCTAGCTGGTGATGATTTTCTCAACTAATTGTTCTAATTGCTGTCTAAATACTGACAGCTCATAACTTTTCCATATAAACTCATTCTAAAAAATCCAAACTATCTTTCAGAGGGTGAGCAGTCACTGTCAGAGCGGAGGTTACCAACAAGACACACAAATGGTGACAGATACATTAAATGAGGCAAATACTGTATGTAAAAGTGACATTTAAACAAGCATAAGGAGAGGTTATATGTTTATGTTAATTGGATGCCAAAATATAATGTTAGCTTCACATAATGTGATGGTGATATTATTCTTGTTAACGCTGCCATTGTTTCAGAGTAAGAGGCACAACAAAATTACATATTTCAGAGTTTAATATTGAGTTTAATCACTGCATGAAAAACACAGTTTTGTTCCTTTTCTCGGTCTCACTCTCAGACACTAAATCCTGTAAAACAACTGTGCAGAATCTTTTTTTATTTTCTATTTCCCTTGATTAAAAAAATGAACCAATCAGTGCAGAAACAGCACGACTTTGGTGGATTGAAGTAAACTGAAATAACTCTATATTGTCACTTTGCAGAGTTAAACTTTAATCTCAAGCCAGAACTTCTAGTTTATTGCACTTGTTCTATGGTTTAGAGTTTCTGGGCTTTTAAGTCATATATATATATAGGAAAAACAATATAATTTATGCAACAGATTATTTTCTACTTCAAGTACTCTAGTGTTATTAGTTTTCCTTAAGGCTATATGAACACACTCTGGTCCTCTCATCCCAAGTATCCAATATGCAGTTATGTGTACAGTTGCACAGCCTAAGTTATGAATTTATAGTTCACCCCATCCGTGACAACTGCCTCAACAACACAGCTTTTTCTCTCTCTCTCTCTTTCCTAGTGGCGTTTCAAGTATGGTCAAATGAACCACAGTTGGTCATGTCTGTGTTGTCTCATTCATCATCAGACAGGGACAACCTGTCCTGGTCCTTCTGGATTTAACAGACTGCCGAGCACAGGGTGTTAAGAACACACACACACACTTTCACACACACACACACACACACACACATACACACACACCTCCAGAGGATAGGATCTCAGAGAAGCAACACAGCCTATTTCACTGCAAATTAGGTTAATCACGCTCCAGAGAGGCCCAGTTAATAACCATCATAGAGGCTATTAACATGGCACCTAAATCATAGGACTATCTGAATATCTGATGCACTGATACCATGTTTAGGTCCAGCGTTCTTCTGGTCACGTTAGCTCAAAGCCGGTGATGTCATGCAATTATTTCTCGCTGAAGAAACACATCAGTGCAGAATATTGTCTATTAAAAGCCCCTGTTCATTAAGCCAGTGATAATATTCATTATCAGACTATTAGTCAGATGCAACAAAGTAAGACAGCGGTGACGCATTGTCATCATGAATATTGACACATGTAGGCGGACACGTCTGAGCTTTTGTACCTCGCAGTTCATCTAAACGCGTTTTTTTTTCCCTTTCACGTGTTTTGAATGCCATTCGCCACTTGTTATTCCTACAGAATTTATTTTCCAAAATACAGCCAGACTATGGAGGTCGAAAACACTTCAAGAATCAGCCACTTCTGGAAAACTTCTAGACAAGTCCCCGTGAAAGGCAACTGGTGTTTTCTGCCAGTAATATTATGCAGCGGCTGTTTTCTGAACCCTGACAGCATCCCCTGTGCCTCAGTGGGGCGAGAGCTCACCACGGGGAACCGAAAAAAACCATGTGACGCCCATGAACGATTAAGAGCGGAGCTGCCGAGCCTGGCAGAGATGAATTGTGACTGGTTCCCCCTCAAATTATACACTCTGTGCAATTACAGGCGCTTGCATCTGGGATGACAAATAAATGTCTTTCATAAGAGAAAAATATATGGGTATATCACATCTATATGAGACACTGAAGCAGGCGCTAGTTCATTTTCCACTGACATTCAAGATCAACCGTGCACATCTATGAGTGCTTTTTTTTTCTTTCTTCCCCTTCTGGCATCCTGAGGAATCGCTTTAAGGCCAGACAAACAAAAACAAAAGTTTAAACAAGCAGCTAGTTCACTAATTTAAACAGCGTTAACTGAAAGGATAAAGTGACATCTTTCAATCAATGGCAAACAAGTCAGCAACAATTTAAATTTATAAATCTGTTTATTATCAAGGGAATTATTAAAAGAAAACTTTTTTTCTTTATTCTAAAAGAGGAAGCAGCAATATGTTCACTGATCAATGTGGAGGATTTTGACAACTACATTCTTCCTGTTTTTATTAGTGTTATTGTAAATCTAAAACACTAGCATGTAAAAGAAAAGCATAATTCTTCTCAGATTTGTTCTTTTGTTTAAATGGCTAAAAGGATTACAGTTGCTACCACTTTGACAAAACATCCTTCCAGTCAAAACAATTGTTAGAATTTAGCGATGCCACCTGGCTGTATTTTAGAGATGGGCTTAATGAGGTTCTTCAGAGACAGAAACCACAACAAAGATGCTGGCGAGCAGCAAATGCTGTGGCTTTGAATTTCATCATTATCGTTCCATCAGTCCTTTCTGTCGGCTGTGCTGAAGTCAGTGTTGTTACATTTACGCCCACGTCTCTGCTTTCTGTGGGCGGTTTGTTCTTTGTCTGTTCCAACAGGTACAGTAGCTTAAAATGCCCATGCTCACAGTTTGTCTCTCTTTTTATAATTCTCACAAAAACAAAACAAAAAAAAACCCACAGTGGACAGTTATAATTCACCCTGGAAGATCTACTAATTGAAAAGTAAATAATGTTTTTAGCCTGTGATGGGGAAACTAGTTTTCTGAGCTACTGCTGACTCCTGTTTCTCTGGTATTTTTTTTTTCCTGACAGTTCCACATCATGGCAGCAAACAACAAGAACATTCCTACATAAGGACATGCACATTTCGGTTTTTCCATGTAGAGACGCGAGACCTGAAAGTGTTTTGATTAATCATCCCGTGCGTCTGCCCTGTCTGCGGCTTGTACCGCTGTTACCCTGTGAGGTCAGCCTGAGATGTGTCACGCATGATAAATGTACAGCTGCAAATAGGAATTAGAGCCACAGACGGGAAGGAGATCCAGCAGGTGGCAAGAGAACCTGAATCCTGGCAAGTTTGGTCTCATTTCACAGCACATCGTTACAAATAAACCTATTCTACTGCAAATGATGGTGTTTGTGTTCAGAGACCTCCTGATGAAGTTACACTAACTTGCTCTCCCTATTTGTACTGTTAATGAAAATGGTTTTAATGCTAATAAAAGTTAATGTTTAAAAAAACAGTGTAAAACAATGAATGTTGGTTCAGTTAGGCCAGGTTCGTATCAGTTTGATCTCAAGTTTGTTAATAAATTAAAATTAGTAGCTTAAATTGACACTCCGCTAATTATTTCTATGACAATAAACAAAAAAAAATAAACTTTTAAAGCTCCAACTCTAAACGTTCCACATAATTAAGTTAAAAATGTAATAAATCTTCAATCATAAACGTAAAGTTGGGTTTCCCATTCATCTGCCTTCCAGTTTTAGCTTCTAACAGCCTTCTAATGGCTCCTCACATGTGTTTGCTCTCACAGGTGAGGAGCTGGCAGACCTGCCCTTAAAGCTGTGCGCGCGCGTGAGTGTGCACGCGTGTTGTTTGGAGCACGCGCGCGTCTGTGGCTGAATGTGTGCTGCCTGCCCTGTGCTTTTGGCGACCTCCAGCGTTCAAAACCTAAAACTGCACCCTCATAAAACACCACAAAACATGTTTATGTGCACATATTCGCTTTAAAGTTAATTATTGTCAACACAAGAACGCACAATTTAAATTTCTGTGCGATATTTTGTCTCAAATTACTCTAAGATGTGCATTTTTTTTTCAGAGCAACTGATGAATAATTAAAAATGAATTTCAGCAGAGTCTAAGAACTTGTCGTGGTGAAGGATTAAAATCCGTGAAATTGTGTTGTCAGGAAGAGGCATCAAACGTGATGCAGCAACATGAAGAAAGAGGGGATTTTGATTGTTTTAAGCATCCTGGCATTAATCATCAAGACGTAAATAAAGACATACCTGCGCGCAACACTCCGTTTTATCCACATTTTTTTTCCCGACTGCCGAATCCGACTTAGTCCTCCAGATCCCCTCCCATTTGGACGGGTTTCCACCAAAGTCGGCGAATTCTGGTTCAGAGAAAAACACTTTAAGTTACGGACCTTGCTCCAGCTGTCAACGCGAGCATCATTTAAGCCGTATCCGTCACCGTGGCGCACATTCAATTCATCCAAGAACGCAACCAAATCCCACCAAAAAAATACAAAAATACAAAAATAAATGAATGAATACAAAAGAAACGAGCACCAGAGCAAATCAGCTGTCTCAAAAGTTTGTCATCTGTTGTTCTGGTGTCGATATTCTTCCTTGTCGGTTCAAAACAGGGGGGGGCAGGTGGACAGGTGAGCCTGCGGGGGGGAGACCCGGAGAGGCGCCCTCAAACTTTGCCTTCACGCAGATTATTCATTCCCACCTCCCAGCAGGAAAGGCAAAGACACAAACGAGGAGGGAAAACAGGGCAAGTAGTTGGCATCTTCATCGCGGAACTGACAGCACCATCTATATTGTTGGGAGGCAGATGAACGTCCAGGAAAAAAAAAAAAGGAAAAAGAAATGGAAAAAAAGCAGAGAAAAAATGAGCGCAAAAGATGAGGATGTTCGGTTCTCTGAAGCGAGGAGGATCCAAGTCACCAGTAGCAGGGGGTCCTCATTATCTGCTCACATCTCTGGAGGTGTTAAGGGTTGAAGTGGGTTGAGAAAGTAAACGGGAGGGAAAAAAGGTTCAACGGAAAAAATAAGAATGAGGGACGCGAAGAGGGAGAATCCTGGAGGATGAGGGTTGTTTCAGAGGAGTTGCAGAGAGAGAGAGAGAGGGGGAGAGGGAAGGAGTGAGAGAGAGAGGGGAGATGAGAGCTTGTCATTAGAGAGGAGAGGAGGATGCTCCGTCTCCTCCTGCTGCTCCTCTTCTCTCAGACTGACGAACGACCTGCCTGCTCAGCCCCACGTTGGCGTGACGTCATTTTAAAGCCAAATATGTCATGTGTTGAAGAGTCTGGCGTCATGTGGGCGCAAAAATCAGGACTGTCAGGTCTGGCATGGAGAGGGACAACACCAGAACCATGAGCGACCACACAGTGGGGGGTCAGCAGTAAGAAACAGGATGTTTTTTTGTTTTTTTTATGAAACATCTCAGTCCTAAAGTACACTCAGGAAAATAAAAGCCTGAAAAAATAAAATAAAACTGACTGTAATGTCTGCTCAATGACAAACCTCAGGGGAAAAGAATCATTGATCTGCTTGAAGCTGGCCTGAGCAGAATGAAGACTTTGCAAGGTGTAAGTCATCCTGAGATGATGTACATGTACTTTAGTAACAGTACTATGATGCTTTTGGGATTATAGCAGATCAACCAGTTCAGGTCACCACTGCTCAAGCGACTCAATCGATCCACCTTGTTGACTCGTAAAACAGACCCGAGGGACAGTACAGCAGACCCCTGACACACCTTAAACTTTGTTTTAAAATGTGATTTATGACTTAAAAGGTGATCGTGACTAAAGTTGTCTCACATTAACTGCAAAATTATCTATTAATACAATATTACATAAGGTGTTTTGAACATTTAAGCAGAGTATTTTCTTCAGTAGAGCTGGCCCATAGGCAGTATAGGCAAAAATATATTTTATAACTTGGATTGTATTTTAATACAGATTTTATGTTGTTTTCCTAATCCAAAAATTTTTTTAAAGGCTCTTCAAAAGGCAGGAAAATGGCTAGCTTTGAGTAAAAGTTTTACAAAATTTTCCAGAGGTGTATACATCTGGACTCCCCCAAGAACTGCTTCACTCCACAGCTGCTCATTAACATGAACAGGTGTTCCTCGTTTGTGTTAGCAAATGTTTGCAGGTATGGTGTAGACTTCTTATGAATTTCAGGCAGGAATGAACCCATGGTGCAGGCAGTACTTAAACTTTCCAAAAAGGATTTATTAAACAAAAAAATGACGGACAGCTCAAAAAACGTACGTGGTGCAGACTCAAAAAAACATGGAACCACCAGGCAGGAAAATACAGCACAATACCAAACAATGATCCGACAGGGAAGTGAAGACAAGACACAGAATATAAAGACTCATGAGCACAAACAGGAAACACCTGGGGGAGGACATGAGGACCAGGTGTGAGTGGGCGGGGCTGGAGCAAGGCAGACAGGAGGAAGAAGACAGATGACAAGACAGAAAACTAAAACAAAACATCAACACAGACACTGATCATAACACTTCTCTGTTTTGTATGACTTACATTGTTAAATGTGTTAATTGAACAATTTGTTTTCTAACTTCATATCAAAGACAGAACTACTTAATTTTGTATGTAATCAAATTGGCACTAAAGCTGAGTCCAAATTCAGGGGCTGCGTCATCCGAAGGCCGAATTTGTTGGCTGCTTATGTCACAGCTGCGCTTTTTTGTTTGCTCTGATTTGAGGGATGGGTCTGATGGATCCTTCTCAAGCCACCCTATCCCATAATGCACTGCAGACCAACTGATTTTCTTCCTGCTCGTAATGGCAGACAAAGCGAGAGAAAGGAGTACAGTTTTAAACAAAAATCTGGCGGAATATGATTTTAAAATTTTAAGCAGATGTGTTGTCAATGCTTTTGTCATTTGCATAGACATGATGTTTTAATATTATTCTCGTCAAAAATAAAAGGAGCTAGTATAGCGAACTAAACGTGCACCTACGGCGGGTCCCTTAATTCTTCAAACAGTGCCTTTAAGCTAATTTTGTTTGATATTTATAATACTAATATATTGTTATTTTGCCAATGTTGATTACTAGGCGACAGCACATATGCTTGGGGAAAATTCACAGCTATTTTTCTCCGGTCTTCGCGGTAGACCAAGGACCTAGCCACCTCGACCGGGTAGGCCAGGTCCTTCTAAGGACCCAGCCCCTGAATTTGGGCACAGCCTAAGATTTAAAATGTTGCACAAGGGGCGCCACCTGAAATCTTGCCCAGGGCGCCAAATTGGCTGGGACTGGCCCTGCTCTTCAGATTATATAAAATAAAGTTTTTCTTTTTGTTGACCATGACCAGAATGCCATATGTTAGTAGAAAAGGCTGACCTGACTCAGCAGAACTTTATTTTTGTTTTTCCCCCACACAGAACCATCTGGAAAGTATGAAAAATAAGGTCAACCAATCATATCTACAAAACTCTTCAAGCAGAACCAAAGGTTTAGCCATAGATTTTGTAGTGTTGGACCTAAAATATAAATTAAATACCTTGCATGTCTAATTTGATTTAGTCAGTCTGTGCCATCGTTGACTGTTTTTACATCATAAATCATCCCATATCTGCCAGAATGGGACACCAATTGGTTTAAACTTTGATTAAAAACATTCTCACATTATGATTCTGCTGGTCTATCCCACATATCTATACAAAAATTGTTTTACAACACAATATTTTTTTCTATTTCATTGCACAAAACAACTTTGCACAAATGACTGTGGACACTCAGTTAGTTACACTGAGTGTTTATTACTTTACTTATTTTTAGTTCTCTGTTTGCATTTTTGCATCATTAATTGCAGTTTGTTTTTCTCATCTGCTTGTAGTGTTTGCACCTTTAGTTGAACTGTTGTCTCCACTTTTCTTGTTTACATTATATATTTTCAGAATTTAAAATCCTCGTTTGCTGCTACCTTGGAAATGCTTAAGCACCATTTTTTTATTTTTATGCCTTTTCATTTCATTGTCTAAAATTATTTGTTTATTTTGATACTTCTTTTAGCAGTTTGTCTTCTTTATTTTGTCTGTGACTGGCTTTTAGATTTTATTATAGTCAACATTGCATCTGTCAGTTTTATTAATTGTGCCATTTTATGTATTTTTTTAATAAAATATTATCTAAATTAATTCCAAAAATAAGCTGCATACTGTGAAGTTCAACTGATGCTCCGTATGTGCCATCCACAATCTTAATGTGCTTTTATTTGAATATAAAAATACAATAAAAAGCATTTAGCATAGCACTAGCTATTATAAGACGTAAAGCAAAATGTCTTCACACAGTTTGCTATCTTGTGAAGCATGAGAACCTATTTTTCAAGAAAGAAAAGGAAAAAGGTGTACAGTACAATAGATGGATGATGTAAGAATTCAGAACATCAGGATCAGTCACAGCACTCGGATTCCAGGGCTCAGATAAGAATGAGATAAAATGTGTTTTCTGGTATTTTTTGGCCAGCTTGATGCTGAATGTGAAGTGAAAGCTATGTTCCATCATGGGGCTTATTTCTCCCATCTTCCCCATTTGACATGAATGCAGCATTAAACTGTCACCCGGGAGGCTTTTTACACACCTGTGCTACAAGAAGTCAGCGGTAGGCAAAATCCCTTTTCATTAGAATCAATGCGCTGATGTGACCGCGCAGCAAGATGGGTGAAGATATTATCCATGACAAGATCAGGTCTTGCGTGAGAAAAAGAGAGAAAAAAAAGGCAGCCTTCGTTGTTCACCTCAGGGTCAAGGTGTCAAACCAATGAACACATCACACCTGTTTTACCCTTTGCAACCACTCCGGTCTTTCCTGGAAAATAGAAATATATTTTATACGGTTCATTATTTTTGGTTCAGACATTTTCAAAATGCAAAAGAAATGGGCTGCTCTTTGCTCTGTTAGACGTCTCGTTATGAAAGGAGCCCAAAGAGATTAACTGCATCTGCTTATAAAATCAACCGCTCCGAGACATGATGAGGCAACTTTTTCTTCCCACGCTAATTGTTGCTATAAAACACACTTCTGTTGAACACCCTCATTACTTCATTACAGTGGATACATACGTCCTGATCCAAGTGGACGTCTCCGTCTGAGGAAACCATCAGTAGCTCTCCAGCAGATGGAAACTGTCATCCCTCTGATTCGCTCTTTCACTTCCTCTGTCTCTTCCCTCCTCATTCACACTCCTTCTCCCACACTCACTGTTTTGCATGTCGTCGTCTCCTGTTCCGCCTTTGTGTGTGTCCTCATCCTGACACGTTGGCTTGAGCTCCTGAAACTAGCCGGTGTACGTGTGAACAGGCTTATTTTGCCTCCGACGGAGAGTCACATGTTGTCATGTATGTGCATGACTGCAGGTGGTTCCGTCTCACATGGATCTAAACGTAGCATAATAAGCATCTGTTGTGTAAGCCATTAGCACCCCGCCATGAGGTTGTGCTTTATAAGGAAGAGGGATCAGAGTATCGCTGTGTATCTGCTTATCTGGACTGAGTCACTCAGAGCAGCAGTTGTGGGAACAGTTTTGTGTGCAGGGTGAGTCGTGACCTCACTTATGGCGTTACAGACAAGGAACGTGGTGACCTCACACGGCTCACACTCAGAAGGAGTTCGAAGGTCATCAAGAGATGATCTGTTCACATTACATTTTAGAAAATATGTAATTTGAGTTGAATTGAGCTCTGTGTGTGTGTAAAAGAAAACTACCCATCCTGAGGCGGAGCATACTCACTGGGGTTGGGTGTTTGGACAATTCCGGTTCTGATTCTGGTTCTTCGTTTCAATCTGGTTCCTAACAATTCCCGATTTTGATTCTTTTTAAAAGCAGGGTTAATTTTTTTACTTGGTTTAAATGAGGTAGCTAACCAGTTCTTTCTGGAGGAAATAGTCCCAACTTCTAAGAGATGAATTTCGTTTTCACAGGGGTACACGTTCACAAGAGAGCTTTATTTTAAAAGCCTTCATGAAAACACATTAACATATTCGGTGTCTGGTCCTGCAGGTTTTTAAGCATGTTAATGAGCTGATATTAGAGTTTTAAAGTAGACTTATCATGCTTTTAAATCCTTCTTTTTAAATTTTAAATTTTTAAATTTAAATCATTCATTTGGGGTCTATATAAAGTGGAACTGCAATGCTTCCTCCTTGTT